AAAGTTGTCAGAACTGGTTTGTATCGGTTTGTATTTTGCATGTATACCAAGGCAGAACCGAAACACTCAACAGAAAAAAAACTAAGGGAAACTGAATTTTTCTTTCAATATAGAGTATTGCTAATTTAGAATTTTTTTGTGCTCGATATTTTTTTTGCTGGTTTTAGTGATGTTCGATTTTTTTTTCTTCCATTCGAGACATGCTCGATATTTTTTTTAGGATTTGCGCCCTCCCCCCATGAAAAATCAAATGGTCCGTCCCTTATTCATAACACATAGCATAGGTCTTCAAAGTATATTGGACCAAACACATTTTGACCAAATTAGGCTTAATATTAAAAGCAAATTTTGAATACCTGCATGTGAGTGTGTATAATATTTTAAGGACTGGCATGAAACAATTTTTTTAATTGCTATACCTGCCAAATTTTCAAGTAATTTTTGGTAGCCCCCCCCCCCGCCCTAAATCTACTGTTTAAAAATAGAGACCTCAAAATCACCATAGCCTCTTCCCTCCCTTAGATAAATTATGAACCCCCTTTTTAATTAACAAATTATCTCAAATTCAGGGAATTAATTGTTTAAAAAAACGAAATTTTGCAAATCAAAAAAATTTGCAAATCAAAGCAAATATATATTATAAAACTTGTTTTACAACCAACTTTTGCTGACAATATAAGCATGGTTAAATAATGTCAGCATGACGTCATGGTAAGTTAACAAGTTGCAAAAGGGAAATCCCCTTTTCTGCATTTAACTTCATAGAATTCTGGATGGTTTTCTATTGGATTTTTGCCACTATAAATTTGACATTTTCCGTATCCAAGATCAACATTATCAAGCAGAAAGGATTGTTCTCATATATAGTCATATAGAGCGTATTAAATATAAACAAAATGCAAATATATATTTATCTGCTTACACAGCACATTTGTAAGGCAGTGACATTGTTTCATTCTGGAATTGTTATACTATATACAAATACCGAATAATAATTTGCTCGCATTGAGATCATACAGTGATTTAGATAATTATTTTCATTGAATGCACAGAAACGTTTTACCTTTTTCTTGCTCGATGTACGCCACCAGACTATAAACATTCTTTGAAATCAGTAGCAATATCGAAACCAAAACGACTCTATCAAATAATGCCCGCATATCAAGTTAGCTTGCCTGAAGAGAAGAAGAATGTCTCAGTAGAAACGAGTTTGTCCGTGAAGTGATGCAAAATGCTTTTGAAACGAAAATTAACGGTTAATTTTACATTTCGTTCATCACACAAGTTTGGCTAAAGCCGTCATAAGGCAATATGATCCAGTGGGACAATACAATACAATACTTATTGAATGAGTCTTTGTTTGTACACACTCCCCGGGAGGCAAATACTTGTACCACAATGATTAATTACATTGACCGTCTAACAATAAACAGGGAGTATAAGAAAGAACGAGACTTTAGAAATAAAGCTGTTGTTGTTGCGGTACTATACTGTACAGCTAGGGTGTCCCAAAAAGAAGTATATACCTTTTGAAATTTTCCTGTTGTAATAATTTGAATGCTTGAACATTATGCCGAACCCACGGAAGCGTAAAATACAAGGTGTATTAAAAACGAGACCTGAATAAATAACTCAGATTTTCTACTCCTGGGAATTTAAAATAGCTTCTAATATTATAAATAAAGAGTGCATGACTACATAAAAATATCAAATTATACTAATAGTCACCATCAGCTCGAGCCCGCAAAAATGGTCAGTTCAAATGGGCAGAGAGTTTTTATTGTGCTAAATTATACGCTCAAAGTACATATTAACTCAGAGTATATACATAAAATTCAATCCGATTGTGCTTACGCACCCGTGGGTACAGCATACAGTAGTAGTAAGGAATTAACATTTGGCGCTGATAATAACTAACTATAGTACTATTATTCCCCACTGCCGATCGGTAGGGATGGATTCGGTGACAAGGTTATGATGGGTCATCAATGGTACTTCCGCCAGAGATATTCTCCAACGACGGCAGGGGTTGGAGTGGGTTACTATTGGTACCTCCTCCAAAACAGGAACCTCCAACCCCTCACATGTTCGCAACTGCGCTAGCGAGAACGTCCGGTGAAGTGCAGATATGGCGTAAATATGCGGTGCTGGACCAGTGACCCAACGACTGGAGCAAGTGATCTGGGACCGCAATAGCGGCCGCCGATGTGGCTGCGCCTATCCGAACACTGTGTGACAAATAATTTCCGAGTTGGAAGGTCATGCAGGTAGAAATTCATTTGAGCAGCAGTTAAGAGAGGGTTATCAGACCAAATAAACAACGGACCAGAGAGGACGCTCCAAATTACCAGGTAGAACGACAATGCCCAAACTGGGGACAAATCGAGCGAACGGTCCGCGCCAAACAGACATGACATCCCTTTCCAAACGATTTTGGACTGTTTGATGCCCAGACGTAACTGAGCGACGGAAAGAGCCGCAAGGACACTCTCAAGTCACGGGAGGGGTTGAAAGGGACAGACACGGTAAACTCACTGACCCGTAAAAACCATAAAATGCGATCCAGCATGGCGCCCAGAACATAACGGCAAGGAAGGAAGAACCAGATAAGATCGCATTGAGTACAGATAAGATCGCAGGAAGAGTCACACCCACGCGCTAAATTCCATTGACAACACGGCGTAATCGATGCGTGTTGCAGCTGTGCTCAGAAAAATCAAAATCAATGGGAAGGGAGCGCACCGTGGCAAGGTAAACACGGATAGTACCGGAAAAGACGGAGCGGGGAGGCCATGCCGCAAACATCATCAGTGGGGAAAAGGCGCACGAACTGAAAAAAACTTGGCGGGGTTGCGGTCGGGGATCAGCCTTGATGCAATATAATAAAGGGTTACACGAAGTATATAACATTAAGGTTTGCGACGACCACTGAATTATCACTAGAAAACTGAATTTGCAGTCGAAACCAGCAATGACTCCAAACAGGACCTGCGACGACGAAGTTTAGAAAACGTTCCATGCAGGGTATAAAATAAAAAAAATTTGTTGGAAAAGAGGGCCGGGGTTTTTCCATCTACTTTGAAATATGTTACAGGCCGGTAATAAACAGCTTTCGAGTTTGTTATGTTACCTCTCAAACTGATTTGTTGTCGGGAATTGGCAGTGACTTTGCGCTAATAGTTAATTTTATAACATATAAATATGCCAATTATGCTTGCAGTGCTTTTTCCGTAAAAATATGCTCGCTTTCACAAATTTTCCTAAACAAATGTGCTAGCATAATCGAGAAAAGCCTGCTCGAATCTCAATGCTTCCTTCGACTTCGTCTCGGCAAACTCTCGGAAAACAAAACCAAGTATTTCCTTCGGAAGTAGAGACTAAATGGAAGCAAAAACGAAGTGTAAATACGATAGAATTTAAGTGAATGTGTATTCACCAGTATTCACCATGCATTGACATATTTTATTATAAGTGTTTACAAATAAACTACGTGAAGCGTTCCTCTTTTGACTTTCTAACTCATTTAGAAATTTTCAATGTTCCTACCGGCTGTTGCAATATTCCAAATTTCCAATGCAAAAAACTCATTTTAAATTTCCTAACTTCCTGTTCTGTTCTGAGCGTTGTCATTGGTGGACTATTTTTGTTAGCCAATTGCAACGTGAAGAATAGAGCAGAACAGGAAGTTAGGAATTTGTAACAGGGAGTTAATGACTTCTAACAAGAACTGAGGAAAATTTAATCGGCTTTTAGCATTTCTAGCAACATTGCAAATTCCCTTAAGGGTTTGCAATGCGGCTTGTTTAATAGCAAAGGTAATGAGGAAAATTGCAATCAATTTAGGCCTATTTTATACGTTGAATTTCGGTCACGTCGAATGCAATTCAAGCAATAGATAATGAAGCTTAATGAGGTTTATCATCTCACTATCTATTGTCTTAATTGCATTCGACGCGACCAAAATTCGTATAACACAGGCATTAGAAAATCAAAAGAGGCACGCTTGATGTAGTTTACATGCAACTGCATTAAAGCAAGAGTAAGTGCTTCTTTATTGATGGTAGAGAAAGAGAATAGTTTGATTCAAGATTGCGCGATGAAACTCAGGATGATGAAAAAAACAGTTGCAACAAATAACAAACACACAATGACAACAGCCACTGAAATCCCAGTCTTGCAGAGTTAACACCGTCACTGCTTGGATTCGCTGTAGTAATAAACTAAACAGATAAGAAAGTTTTATCTCAGTTAATACTTTACATCTATGTTGAATAAATACTCCAAAGAAAAAGAGATATATAAATTGTTTTCAGTGAGAAAACTGGAACAGGATCGTCTTCACCACACGGAATGTCTCAAAAACGCCTCCACTATGTTTTATGTGGTATTACAACAATTAGAACAATAATAGTTTATTTGTACCTTAATACAATTTACATGGTAAAATTACAATTATTAAAAATAATATAAATAATAGGTACAGGCTTCGAGAAATAACCTTAGGAGGCTAAAAATGCCAGGAAGCCCACTTTGCAGGCATTTTGATATTCAGATTAATTTAAGGTCGAAGACTAATATAGATATATCAAGGTACAAACACATAAAGGTTTGAATACAACAAAATACACACACATGAGCACACAGATCTACATTATCACGCAATTTTTAAAGGTTAAAAACTTAAAATAACCGCGAGCATATATAGTACCACCAGATTCAGTGGCCTGATATTATTAAATGGAGAGAGAGAGGATAATTATACATGAAAATTAATTTCCAGTTTTTTTGGACTATATTCAATATTTTATGGACTATATTCAATATTGATCCAAACAGTCATCTTTCGGCTTTTTTTTTTAATTTATAAAAGGAAAACGATTTTACAGTTTCTTCTATACTATTCCACGTTTTAGTTCCCAGAAAGCGTATATTAAATAAACCATAATTAGTTCTTGCCTTAGTTGGGAAGATAATATGATTTTTTGGAGGCCAGCCTTATACTTTAGTTGTGAACTGCATCTACTGTTGTAAAAAAGCCATTGAAAGCAAAACTGAAAGGTAATATTTTGTGATAGTATTTATGCATAAAACATGCAACATGAAAAGTTATAAAATCAAACAGCTTATTACTCGCTGGGGCACTCTGTGCCCAGGCGAGTATAGGCAGGGCCGCCGAGAGGTTGGCGTGGGCCCGGGGCAATTTTTTTTTTTAGGGCCCCTATCTAAAAATTTTTTTCCGGAGAACAACCTCCCCCCCCTCCCCCCCCCTCCCCCCCTTCGCCAAAAAATTTTCGGTCAGTGTACCATTTTAGGGGTCAAAAATTTTTTCTGGAGTACAAAATTTTTCCGGACGAGTACGTTGCAATTGCTTTCGAGGGACTTCATCTCATTTTTTCATGCCAAAATTCGGTACTTAGCCCAAAAAAACAGATCTCTTGTCCTTTGCGCGGAAATATTTAACACAAAAAAGGTTGGGGCCCAACTAAAATTTTTCAGGGGCCCCCAGCAACTCGGCCCCCCCCCCCCCTCTCTGCGGCCCTGAGTATAGGTTTCGGCTCTGTTCTTGGATCGGCAATGTCCAATCTCCTAACGTCGATAGCCACAAAATAGAATATTAATGAGCTGCTTGATCCTTTTCAAAACGGCGGTGCCTTTCGTGGAGTGGGCAAAATGTTTCAAACAATTTCGTGAAAATTTTGAACGAATTGTACTTGTTTTCTATGGATTTTGCATTGTGTCTAACTCTGGACATTCTTGCTAGTTTATTTAATGCGTTTTTCTTGGTGCACGACTCTGAAAATCCGAAATTTGGATCGTTGAATTCCCGTGCACGATCGTAATATACTGAATCTGAATATAAACGAGCCAAAGACAATTTCAAGGTAAAAGGTTATAACTTAAACTGCACAACGTAGTTTTAATAAATAACTACAAGTACGAGAAGCATATTGGTGTCATATCAATATAAAATTTATCGAACAGTCCGTGAAAACTGTAGTGTATACTCAGTGAAATATGATATTGTATTTGTAATGCCTATTTATGACGCAATAAGAATACAAATACCACCGTTCGATTGGGCGTAAGAAATTGTACTTACGGATGTCAAATGTATTACTAAACACCAGTATTCTAACGATTCATGGCCTTTGAAAGTCAAGCGAAATTGTACTGTTTACAAAACGCTCGCCGTACAAACGCAGTACGTATTGTTTACAAATCACTCGCCGTTTGTCCGACGTGGTCCGACCTTGTATTTGTATTGCCTAAAGGCCCGGTCACACTACACAACGATAACGATACGATAAATTGTAAACACGCGATAATTGTCAAAAAAATTGTGTTAGTGTCCACACAACAACGAAAATGATAAAATTATCGTTAGACGATAACGATAACGATTTTAAAATCGCTCTCACCTGAGCGATTTTTTTTTCAGTCGGACGATAACGATAAATTTTTGACCAATCAGCGCGCGTATACAAGTTATCGTATCGTTATCGTTGTGTAGTGTGACCGGGCCTTAATGGCGCAATAAGGATAAAAATCATAGAATAAGAAATGATAAAAATACCACCGTTCGATTCGGGTTAGGTTAAAACGCGGAAGCGGATGCGGAACGGAACGGATATGCGGAACGGAACGGATATGGGGTTAAAATGCGGAACGGAACGGATATGGGGTTAGAACGCGGAACGGAACGGGATTAAAACGTTTTTTAAAAACAGACATGAATTTTGATGGCTGGTTTTAAAAACGTTTTATTCCCGTTCCGTTCCGCGTTTTAACCCCATATCCGTTCCGTTCCGCATATCCGTTCCGTTCCGCATTTTAACCCCATATCCGTTCCGTTCCGCATACCCGTTCCGTTCCGCATTTTAACCCCATATCCGTTCCGTTCCGCATATCCGTTCCGTTCCGCATTTTAACCCCATATCCGTTCCGTTCCGCATACCCGTTCCGTTCCGCATTTTAACCCCATATCCGTTCCGTTCCGCATATCCGTTCCGTTCCGCATTTTAACCCCATATCCGTTCCGTTCCGCATATCCGTTCCGCATTTTAACCCCATATCCGTTTCGTTCCGCATCCGTTCCGCATCCGCTTCCGCGTTTTAACCTAACCCCGTTCGATTCAGCGTAAGAAATTGTACTTACGAGAAATTGTACTTACGAGAAATTGTACCTACGGATGTCAAATGTATTACCAACAACTGACAACAGTATTATAGCGATTTATGGCCTTTGTCTTTGAAAGCCAAGCGAAATTGTATTGTTTGTTGACAAATCGCTCAAATTATAAAAAAATGCAGTACGTTTGATCCTTGATAACTTTGGTATCATTGGTTTTCTCTTTTTCGGCCGTACACCAGTGGATTCGTCTCACTTCTATCTTCATTTTGATAATATTTCGAGCTAGCTCAAAAGCCCCAAAATATTTTATTTTGAACGTTTTAAACTGGCGGCCGACAAAAGAATGTAACGTACTATAAAATATAACTTTACTTGTCGGCATAAACGCCGGAAGTTTCCGCTTTATAGCTCGGGCCCAGGCTTAATTTCCACTGTTGCGTTTTTCAGTCATACCTACGTATACGCACGTAAAACTTTAAATCAGTTTAAATGTTACTTATAAAATAGCCAAATAAATAAAGCAACAGAATTTACTGCTCCACAAGTTTTAGTATGAATTTGTTAACTTATTTGTATAACCTCATTAAAAATTAAAAGGATTCAAAGTTTTGCGTGCGTGTACGTGCGTACGAAAAACGCAACAGTGGAAATCAGCCTTTAGATCTTAACAGTATTGTGCGTCAGTTGTATAGCCCCAGCGAGTTAACGCTCCATAGAGCGTCTTGTTTATTTTTAATTTCTTGAATAGAGGACTTGTATGATCATCATATTTAGACAAGCTCATGATCCACATGGCCTTTTTTTTGCAAAATAAAAAGGTTGCAGGGTAGTTGCATAGGTATTACCCCAAGCAATTATACCATACGTTAGGAAAGGATGAATCAGAGCATAATAAATATTAACCAGAATTTTTAAAGGAACATAGTAGCGTAATTTAGACAACACACCAATGCTTCTTTTGATTTTTTACAAATACTTCCAATATGGGATTTCCAATCAAGATTTGAGTCGATCAGGATGCCAAGATATTTAACAGATGAAGAACAAGGTATATTATTATTGTTAATAGTTAATACAAAATTATTACCTATTTTCCGTTGAGGTGAATAATTAAAAAAGTACAAAGTTAGATTTCCCAACATTAAGTGATAACTTATTTGTACAAAGCCACATACTAACCTTGTTTAATTCACTATTTGTACGAGATTGTAAAATATTAATATTTTTATGTCTGGAGAATAGATTTGCATCATTAGCAAAAAGATGAAAGTCAAAAAATTCGGAGCATTGATGAAAATCATTAATATAAAAGATAAACAGTAAAGGTCCAAGAACATGCAGATCCTTGCGGTTGACCACAGGATACATTCTTTTCTGATGATATAGTGTTATTAATTGTAACTGTTTCCCTGCGATCCCTTAAGTAAGATGTAAACCAGTTGTTGGCAACTCCCCTTATACCATAATATTCCAATTTTTAAATTAAAATTTCATAATCGACAGTATCGAATGCCTTACTAAGATCCAAAAATGTGCCACAAGAATAATCTCGTTCATCAATTGCTGTTTGAATTTTATCAATTATGTTAAGAACAGCATGATCAGTGGAATATTTAGCACGAAATCCAAACTGATTCTGAAATAATATTGCTTTCTTTTGTATAAAATCAAGCAATCTTGTAGACATTAGTTTTTCTAGAAGTTTATTAAATACTGAAAGGAGAGAGATTGGACGATAATTACAAATACTAATCAGTGTTCTACTTTTATAAATTGGTATGACATTTGCTAATTTAAAATGACTTGGAACATTGCCAGTTGTGAAAGAAATGTTAAAAATAATTTCCAAAAGTTTTGATATAAATGTCTTTAGAATTTTAAGAGCTGTGACTGGAATGCTAAAAGGACCAGTAACCTTTTCAATTTTTAGTTTGGAGATTTCGTCTTCAATCTCTACATGTGTAACAGGAGAAACAAAAAAGCTACTGGATGGACAATCTGTTAGATATTGTAAAGGTGACGTTTGAACAGTAGGAATTTTAGCAGCTAGGATATTTCCTATGTTGGAAAAATAATCATTGAAAGCATTA